CCACTCACTGTCCTACAGCTTGTACCAGTCAGGAAGCACGCTGTCTCAGTTACTCTCATTGCTGCAGCGAAACACCCAATACCCACAAGGGAAAGGTTTACTTTGGCTCCCAGTCCAAAAGAGTTCCAGTCCACAGCTAGCTGGGGGCTGCAAGGCAGGGCGGCACGGCCGAGGAGAAAGAGTTCACAGTGAGGCATGCAGGAAGCAGAACTAGATCAAGGGACGAGGAAGGCTATAAAATGCACCTTGACTTACGAACTCAGTTCATTCCTGAGGTCTGGCTGTAACTCAAGTTGGTCAGCCAAGGCTCAGGTTTCTCTACACAGCCTTCAAAATCTCTCTTCTCTTGCACACAGGCAGATCTCAGTGTCCTCAGATGGACAATGGCTCAGGATTTCTCAACCCCACGCAGGAAAGGATGTTGTAATGTTCCTTTCAGAACCCTTTAGAGGTTAAATCTGTATCCAGGACCATCTGGAAGCACAAGCTGCCAGCATACAGGTCATAACTCAAGACTTTGGTTGTCAGTTAAAACTAAAATTCTGGTCATACCTCAGGTTGTTCCGTGACCCACCTTTCCCCACCAAGCTTCACCTCCCAACATCACACCCAGCTATAAGCCCATCAGTGGACTACTCCAGAGATGAGTATCACATACCCGTGACCGGATCACCCCCCCCAAAAGCTCCACGACTGAGTGCACGTGGCTTTGGAGGACATCGAGAAATAAACCATTTTACACACTATGCCCAAAGTGTGATGTGCCTGACAGAGACACTGATATATCTCAGGATGTGTTACCAGAAGTACAGTGTCTAGAGAGAGGGGGTTGAATGTTACGCTTTGCTCCTCCACCCACACCCGGACCATGACATCCCATTAGGTTAAAGACGGCGTGGACAGCCTGGCAACTTAGGAGAGTCTGACTCTGAAGGCAAAATGGACCCTACACCTAAGCAGAAAAACTGAGGAACTAAAGTTATCTGGGTTCAGGAAGACATGGGGTTTCTTGAAACATGTTGAGACTGGTACAAGTGGGCAGGGAGGCAAGGTTCACAGTGCTGACCAGAAATACGAAGTTCTCCAGTGTGGTGGTACATGCCCAGCCCTTCAACCCATGGAAAAATGTTGCTGACTGCTCAAGAGAAAGCAGGGCTTTCCAGTATTTGGAACTGTTCACAGACAGAACAGTCTACTCTGTGTGGCAGTAAGCTTCCCATCACTGGTTATATTCAACCATGCCTGGGCTTTTGCATAATAGATGATAGCCAGGAATTTGGATTTCCAAAACCCAAGTTCCACAATCCAGCAGGTAATTTTCTGTCATAAATATCCTCTCAGATTCTGTTTTCTCCTTCTTAAGATATCATTTGCACTTCATCTGCTATCCTTGGTGGCCTTTACTCTTTGTCTTCACTTGAGTAATAATTCTATTTTAAAAGTTATCTTTGGCCATCACTGGTGAGATGCTCTTGAAGCAATTTGATTCAGATAACTGATCTCTCTGATCGCATTTTTCCTGGACTGACTTCCTTCTTTCCTTCCTCCTTCCTTCCTTTTTCTCTTCTGCTCCACCACACACTTCAGTGTTGACAGCTTATGGACACAGAGGCCAGGCAGTGGCTTGGGGCCAACAGCTTGCTCTGACACTGGACACCACAACCATGGAGACATTTTTTCCTGGGTTTTGAACACAGAATGCTTGAAAACAAATCTCTGGTCCATGAGGAGGGTGATTTATTTTAGCAGAGCTCTGTTACTTCAAATTTTCCTACCTAGTGACCAAATCCTGTTATAATTTCCTCTTCTTAAATGGAACAGTGGCAAAATGGATTCTTTTGGTTTCTTTTGCTGCTGAATGTTGTATTTACTTGTGCTGGAAATACCAATTGTAGATGCATTCAGTTCAGTTCATTTGTTCATTTGTGGAGTGTCTAAAATAGCTATAGGCACCGGGAAAGCAGCACTGAAGAACATAAACAAAATCCCTTGCTATGCTGGAGCTGCCACTTAATGGAGAAGACAGGCAGCAAACAAGAGTAAAAAGTAAATACATATTATGCACAACAAAATATGTATGAGATGGTGAGAAGCTCTCAAGAGAAGACTAAAACAGGAAGAAGTGTGTGGGAGGGCTGGGGGGAGGGAAAAGAGGCTGTTGCCTTTGAAACAGCTGGTGAAGTTCCAAAAAATGCTATTTAAATCATGGGATGCCTGGTAAGAAGGTGACAGGGGCTTGAAAGTCTCAGATGCAAGTACAAAGCCCCAGTTGCCTTCTGAATCCCTGCTGAGTGCTTAGCATCATGTGTGACAAACAGAACCGAAACACTGGGATCTTGCAGAGGAAAGAACACATCTGCACCCCAAACAATAGGCAGTTCACTGCTAAGTGCTCTATCAGGCCGACCGGATCACTCCAAACCTCCTCCCCTCCAGTTACACTGGACTGGCCATTGTCCCCTGAAACGCCCCGGGTCTCTCCCCACTCCAGGGCCCTGACTGTCTCACCACCCAGGCACCAATGCCCTGCTCACACCCTCTGCACTGTACACACCCTTTGAAGCCCACCCAGACTTCTCCTTCGTGAAGCTCTTTCTGACTATGCAGCACCCCGAATCTAGAAGCTGGCAGGCTCTCCTTGATCTGCATAACCGGGACCCAAGTTTCAGCAAGTTCCATAGTGATGACTGGATGTACACGCTGAGGTCTGAGAAGCCGTGCTCCAGGTCACTCATCCCCAACTGCAGTTGCCCACTGGGAAGCCCTGGGCAGCTTTTCAAAATCCAACACCGTTTCCCTCTCCTGAGTCCAAGAGCCCTGTTGGATCAGTGTTCATGAAAGCTGGGCATTAAGGCTTTTTTCCCCAAACTTTCCAGGTGATTCCAAAATGCAAACACAAGTTTAGAATTGCTAGTAGCTCCTCTCTCATTTTCCTCAAATTCTTCTCCCCACCTGTTTTACCCTGGCTTTCGAGCAGCCTGCCTTCAAACCAGGTCCTTTTCTGTCTTTCCTGAGGGGTATTCTTAGTTCCACAGCACAGGGAGACGTGGCTTCCCTCCACCCTTTCTCCCAGGCTCCAGGCTCTGGACGCAGGGCCTTCACCGAATGGAGACGGGGAGCAGGGACACAGGCAGAGGTGAACACAGTCCTCTGCAGCATGGCCTTTGGTGAGGCCCTTGCCAAGCTGCTTCATTCTTCTCGGTAAAGCGAGGATGGCAGAGACTTTCCGGCCTGCCTCACAGTCACTGGGTCTTGGCAAGATCAACAGAGATCATAGGCGAGAGTGTTTTTACAATACTAGGAGATTAATGGGTGTGAGAGCAAAAAAGTTTCCTGTCAAGTAGTCCTAGGCCACTCATTTCAACCTTAAAAATATTTCTTTTACTTCCCAAGTTTAAACAAGAATTTTAAGGAAAAGAAATGTACCTTAGTATCCAAGAAGGAGAAAAACACATAAAGCAACTGTGTGGGCAGAGGTGGGTATGATTCAGTGATTACAAGCGGCTGGCGGCAGTGGCCCTGCGACTTAAGGATGTTTTAATTAGCACCAGGCCTGGAGGGTGTTTAGTAGCCATCCACTAGTGAGGCCCAATTTAAAATGGCACCGTGTAAGTCCACACTACCCGCTAAAGAAGGAGTGCTACTTACGCTTACCCACATGACCTAATTTTCACCTCTAGGGGGTGCTTTTGGAGACAAGGTTTCATTCTGTAGCCCAGGCTGACCTCCAGCTTGCCACCCTCCTGCTTCAGCCTCCGCTGGGATCACAGGTGTGCACCACCACACCTAGTTTAATTTTCATCTTTTAAAGAAAAGTATGCTACCTCCATTGAGCCATTCATTCTGCTGATGTAAAATTGAAAGAACAAGAGATCCTGGCTTATTCAAACATATTCTTGGATTTACTGAATGAGTAGATCTCTAAAAGTCACACTAGATGCTAAATACCAGAAGGGATATAATTTTGTCACTTTCGGCTAGTGCAAAGAGCCAAGAAAGTATAGGAAGGCTCCTTTGCCCAAACATTTCCTTTATGTCTTATCCTTAAGAGTTCTTCGAGGTTCTCATTCTGGCGGGCTTTTTTTTTTAAACTGATACAAAGGCCCTTGGGAGGTGTGACAAGAAGGCATTAGAAGCTCAAGCTTTTTGCATTTCACTGATCCAGATTAAAAGATTTTGGGGATAGGCCCAGGGATTTATCTCAGTGGTTCCACCACCTGTCTCGCAAGCACAAGGACCCGAGTTTGATCCCCGGTACAAAAAAAAAAAAAAAAAAAAAAAGAGCAGATTTTAGCGATCCACATCTTTTAGAGAAAGAACCTCAAACAACACCAGTAACAACTATTACCATTTCATAAAAGCACAGATCCTTCAGAACAAAACTAGCTAGGAAATACAGTCTTAGTCTAAAGGATTATCCTCCCAAGAAAAGACAACAACCTCAAAACGGTGACAACAGATCCAGATAAATATATTAGGCAGCTGTGCTGTCCCTAAGGGTTCGCATTCAAGAGCCAGTGTTCCGGTGCTGTCACGGTCAGGAGTTGAGAATGTCTAGAGTCCTGGATATGGAGTAGGGCTCCAGACAAGGCTGTGTTCTAAAAAGAGAGAAGAAAGAAGGAAAGAAAGCGCTGCAGTAACCAATGGCACCTAGGATCATACATGGATACAGATAAATATGGGAGGGTTGGGACTCACAGGGAACTTCCTCCCATGTTACTAAGCAAAGATGGTGTGAGCCCCAACTATAAACACCTCAAAAGAAATCTCACAGTGGCAGTCTTTCACTGCCTTTTCCTCATTCGTGAGGAGACCCTCCTCCTACTCTGAGGAGGGAAGGGAACGGGGAGGACAGGGAAAAAAAGTGGAAGCAGTGTCCACAGCCTGAGTATAAACTAGAAATGTAACCCAGAGGGGTGGCGTATCTCTCACTACAGTTCAACCACTAAACGAATTCTTTTTTTTTTTTTTTTTTTTCCAGTAAAGGAGATTGAACTCAGGGCCTAACTGTGCTACATTCTCAGTTTAGTTTTTATTTTGAGACAAAGTCTTGCAGAGTTGCTGGGGCTGTGCTCAAAGTTAACATACTCCTGCCTCAGCGTCCCAGACTGTTGGGATTATAGGTATGCGTCACCAAGCATGGCTTCCCCAAATCCTTTTCAGAGGAAAGATGTGAGTCACCGAAGCTAAACAAACTTTCTGTTAAAGATGTTCTCCATTTTCCCCTGAGAACTTGCCACTCAGAGGGCCCGCCCAAGGCCAGGGAGCTGCTGAGTTCCTGGTCCCGAGGCCCAGCTCTCATGGCCACCACTGGTGTTTCCTTTGGTGTCCATCTCGCCGCCGTTCAGTCTGTCCTGTTCAGCAATTGAAACAATTTCCTTAAGTCTTGATGTGTTCCCCCTTCTCTCCTGTTAGCAGAGATTAGCCCTATCAGGATGGTAAACAAAAACATTTTCCCCTGCCTCAGAGTCGCACCTCCTTCCTCTGCTCTCGCTCAGCGCTCAGCGCGGGCTAAGTCTTCACCTGGGGTCCAGGCGGGGCTGGGCTGGCCTGCAAGGTCAGCAGGCGGGCTGAGCTCCCGGAATACGCAGTGGCCTCGCTGTGCTCCGCCCCGGGGCCGGGGGCGCTGTGACTCACGCGTCCCCCAGGGCTTTCCCGCCGCTGCGCCGGGTCCCGCCGGGAAGGGATCCCATCGGAAACCGTGGGCGGAGTGGCAGAGACGAAGCCGTGGGGTTAGAAGCAACGTCACTGCTCCGTTCGAGCGGGGCCACGGGGCACCTGGCCGTGGCGTGGTTAGAGCTAAGCGTGTCCCCGGGCGCAGGACCGCCCCACTCCTGAGGCAGGGAGCGGGAGGGGAGGGTGGGTCACCTACGGGTGACCTCATAGCCAAAACCTTAACCCCCTAAAGCATACGTGAAGAAGAAAGGCCTGGTGCTGCAGCTGTCTCAGTGAATTAGGCATTCTACGTGCTATGTCCCATTACAGAGATAAGGAAACGTCAAAATTCCATCTCTTGTCAGGTCTCTAAATGCAACTCCCCTCCTTCCTCTGCCAAAGTTTGCTCAGACAATCAGTACCGGCCATCCCCTGCCTTTGTTTTCAGTTAGAGCTCCTCTGTCCACAGCCAAGAGAGTCCTGACTGATAATACAACTTTTAATCCAATAATTTTATCCTGGTAGAGAAATACAACAAAGGAGCCACATGCCTCAAAATACTCACTGTGGGCTTACAATATTCAAACCATTAAAATACAAATTTAACACGGGAGAATAAAATGGTACATTTATATGATAAAACACAAGGCCTTAAAATGATATTATATGTAGGGTTTGATATCAAAGACAAATTATAATAGTAAGAGAGATACAAAATTATATATGTATTTATAAAGTATACTCACAAGATACAGAAAATGTAGAAGAAAAACAACAGAAGAAAATCTACCAAAATATTACATCTTTGGGTGATAGGGTTAAACTCAAACCCTAAGGTATTTCCCATTGTCTCTAAACTGATGATATGCATGTATGTATTATTAAAATATTAAACCAATTAGAATTTTACATATAATTATACATATTAGTACATTGTGTGTCATATATATAAAAAAATACATATACATGAAATCACTGCTGCAAAAGAAGTCATTGGGCCTGCATAAAAGATGTATGCAATTTTTCCATTAACTTGACAATTTTTTATAAAAGGGTATATAGAAATTAACGAGGATGGGTCAATTTTGATTATGTCCAAGACATAAAGGTAAGGGAAGAGCATGCCAGTAGGCCAGAGGAGAGAGAAAAATGCATGGATTTTAGAATACACAAAAAGAAAATGATGAGATTATAGTTAATTCCTGGATAGGCAAGGACATACAGAAGGGAAGAAGACTAGAATGGAACTCCGAATGGCAAAGGAAAAGGCCTGATAATCAAGTGGCCCTCTTATTTGCAGTCCACTCCTCTTTCACAGCAGCTAGGAAAGTGGAGGAAATCAGGAAAGCCTCATCTGCATGCTGTGTGTCCCTGGAGACTGGAAGAGAAGATGCACTAATTAGCAAGACTTCCCTTTTGAGAACTGCTCTGTCTTGGGTGAGGATCTTGTAGAATGTAGAGTGCAGCAGTGTCTATCCTTCAAGTCACCTAACCCTACATTCTGCACTCTGAACAGCTAATAGAGCATAAGCTTCACTGAGGTCCTGTATTAGGGTAGGAGACAAAACTCTTATTCTGCGATGGAAAACTAGGGTTCTCTGGGTGGGTGGTTGTAAAATTTACCAAGCCATATACTTAGGAAAGTCTCAGTGGTTCAACTTCCCCTACCCGGGTTCTTCCCTTGCTAGGGAAGATCCCTTGCTGACTTCACCCGGTTTGGGCTTTTGATCACTTCCCCTTCCTCAAGCATTGAAAGCTATACCCTTGCACTGGGGATGGTGGGGAAGACCCACTAGGTTGGGGCTAGATCCCAGCCCTTCTTGGAGTCATGGCCTTTCCCCAGTACTAGTCCCACGTTATCTCCCAGCCCCAATAACCTGCTTTCTCGTCACTGGAAGAGATCACAGAAGGCATGGGGAGCCACCTATGGTTGTTTCCACACTTTTAAAAGGAAAGCCTACTAGAGCCAGGATATATGTATGAGTGCTAGGAAAATGTCAGATTTTCTACTAATGCCTTTTCGTTAAATGAGAATATAGGCACAGGGTATCTGGGCTGGATACGACTATGTATTGGCTCTAGGATGGAACATGGGACCTGTCTTGCTTGATATCCTGCAATTCATAAAATACAGAGATGTTATCTTAAGATGTCCTCTGTCATAACAGGAAAAGATTTCTTAATACCTTCCATCAAAACCAAAATGTCAGAGAAATCATCTTGTTCAAAAATTATAATAGAAAATACTTCAGTTTACTTCACCTAAAATGAAAAGCACCAACATAAGCATTTGTATGACACCTGGGCTCATAAGATGGAAGGATTTTCTGACCTTGTTCTTAAAAAAAATGCCAAAACCAATTCTCTAAAGATACTTTTTAAAAAATATGTGATGAAACCCAGAAGGGGCTTTTATCTCATAACACCCATACCAGAAGATTCATTTCTGTGCTCAGAGTCTTGTTTTGATTGGGAATACGCTTGAGCCCAGCTTTGGAATCCTTTCCTCCAGCCCGAACATCTGTTCCACAGTTGTGAATGTTTGTTTGGTATTGCCCCAAAGCAGGCAGTACAAGGGAAGAATTTTTAACAATGAGTCCCAAGACAGACTAGACCAGCGGTGTGCTTATTTTGAAAAGGCATTTTTTGAGCAATCTGACGAGTATGTAAAAAAATGAACAGGTCGTCTGACCAAGAGATGGATGTCCATCTACTGTTGGAATGCAGTTTAGCTTGTTTTCACTACTTCTCAAGTATTTTCCCCCAGAAATATTTGTTCGTTGTATTATAATATTGCATTCCATACTAGCCGAGCTTAGTTTTTGGAATTTGAATGTTTAACTCAAAATAATCATAAACGAATGATTAATTGTACAGTATTCAACTAGAAGTATGCAAGAATAAAAAAAGTCTTTAGCTATCTGGGAGAGAAAGTCTAAGTAAAATATGTCAAGAGAGGGTATCACTTGTAAGTTTTTATCTTAACTAACAATGGAGAACTGTCACTTCTTTATTCTCTGTGAAACTAAATTATTTCACACAAAAGAAATCTCCAGTTTGTAAGATGAGGTTCTAGACAAATCAAGCTGCCCTGCAACTACAGAACTACAGAAGTAAGAAAAGTTACATTTAAGGCAAAACTTAAATTATTGGTGATATTTTCAAGAAATATTGGACTATCATTCTGTTAATGCTGTCTTTTTTATTACACATTCAAATTCAAGAGTTCTCATGGAGATCATGTGTTATGATTTTGAATTTTCACTCAATGAAAGACCACTGAAACCGGCATTTGAAAACAACTGGGTTTAGTTTCAAAGCTCTAAAATTAAATTGAAAGAGGGAAAGATCCTAATCCCTCAAACCATCTGTTCAAAAAACTGAAGAAAATGACCGAGGCTTCAGCTAGGGGAAGAGTGATTCCTTCTCAGATGAAATCTATAAGCCTTCTTCCTAGGCACTCTCTCAACTGGTCCTCACAACATCCCTGTGAGGTCTGTCAGGCAAGTATTTTTATCCTCATATTGTAAAGAAACTGAGGCTTAGAGAAGAAATCTTACTGCATATCAAACCAGACATCATTAGCAAGGGCAGAACTTCCACTTACTTGACAGCTGCAAAAATCCTAAAGTGAGGTTGCTTGCTGCTTGCTGCTTTTGCTGTCTTCTGACTGCCAAGGACTATTTCTCTTCTGTGATGTCCATCTGCCATGCCACCCCACCTTGGAGGCAGCTAATTATAGACTGAAACCTCAATAAACTGAAGCAAGATAAACCTTTCCTCCTTTAACTTTTTGATCGTCTCCTAGGAATAGACTTCTTCACATTTTTACAGGAAAATGGTGGTATGGTGTGGGGACTCACAAGTAGCCCAATTCAGCACAATGCCATATGAAAAACCAGATTTGCAAGTTTTAGAGGAAGTCAAAAGTGAATCATCAGATTACTCACGATGGATGATGAAGATGATAATGACTTTGACATTGGTTGGCCATGTGAACCAAAGTTCCTAAGACAGTGAAATGGAGTAAGAATCAACTGATACAGACACAGGGAATGTAGACTTCCTTAATTCAAGTGATGAAGAAAACACCAATGAAGCGCATATGTGACTAGTTGAAATGTTGCAAAATGGTCACTCAACCAGATAGAACGATCCAAGGTTAGAACCAGGTCCAAAAATATAGTGATGATCTTGGCAGGGGTTAAGCCTATTGGACAGATTTCCAGCACTCCCATTTAGTGTAGGAAATTGTAACAGATAAAATACTACAAAGGCTGCAATACAAGCTAAATGTTCTGTATGCACCAACAGCCATATTCAAAAATGTATTTATGACACCTCACTAGCTGAACCAAAAGCATTCATAGGTCTGCTGTATTTAGCAGGGATTTATCATGGTAATCATAGGAAGTGAAAGACCTATGGAAAAGCAATGGGTCAAAATATGACATAAAAATGTATGTTCTTATAGATACGAAGACTTATACTTTCAATTTAGAAATTTATCCTGGAATTCAGCTACCAATCCTTATTACTATAATAATAAAATAAATGATCATCATCAGACTTGTTACTCCCATCTCCCAAACTAATTGGAATGTGACATTTGACATTTGTTTTTACCAGTTTCCAATCAATGTTACACTTGCCAACAGAGCACAAGTTGACCAGTATAAGAGCTGTATGCAGGAATAAGGTAGAAATTCCAAATGAAATGTTGCAATTTTAAAACAGAAAATTGTATAGTACAATCTTTGGATTTCAGAAAGATTTACATTGGCCTTATATATGGTAAAGAGAAACAAACTGGTACTGCTGATATCAACATTGCACCATGATGGAAATATTGATAGGGAAACCTTGACAAAAATGAAACGTGAGATGGAAACTTTCTATAACAAAATGAAAGGTGGAGTAGGTGCTGTTGATGAGTTATGCAGCAACTATGATGTCACTTAAAATACAAAATATTAGCCAATGGTTGAGTTTTACTCTATCCTAAACAGTTTGATGGTTTATGAAGAAAATAACAAGTGCAATACCATGGAGAATTTTTCTTAGAGGACTGCAACTGGAACTCGTAAAAGATCATTTACAGCAGAGGAAAAACAAAAGGTTTCCGCCCAGGGAACGGTGCAAAAAAAAAATTGTGGCACACACTGGTGAGCTGACAGGTGAACAGCCAGGCACAGCATCAGAAAGACCTACTATGACAACAAGAAAACAAAAAGATGTCAACTGTGCCCTACAAGAAAAGAAAGGAAAACAAAACATATTGTGCAATCAGTGTAAGCAATACTTGTGTATAGAGCATGTAGTTTTCATGTGTGAAGACTGCCTTGGGTGTGACAGTTGAAGCAAAGATCATTTCTGTGGTAGACTTTTGTGTGTATTTACATTGTAGTTCACATAGGTTCTTATTTCTGATGTTATCTTTTAGGTTTTGGTAAGCAAGTAAGTAGCTCATGTGAAAATGTTGATGTCTATTCTAAGCACTCGTTACACTTTCAATATTTTAGTTTAATATCTTATTTTCCTGCTAAATTCACATTGTACAATGTAGTAGGAAG